TAACAACTTTTGTATCTCCTCGTCAATGGCAGCTTGCTTCTCAGGGCCGAAAAGGCGACGTTTCTGCACCACCGGCCTTCTGGTAGGATCTGTGCTGAGTTTGTGGACTGTTAACTCTGCCGGGATTCCAGGCATTTCATCAGTAGTCCATGCAAACACATCTTGATTGACTCTCAAGAACTCCAGAAGGTCTGCTCGTTCTTCCTCCGTGAGTTTGGTGCCTATCTTTACTGTTCTTTCCGGTATATCAGGGTTTAAAGGAACAATTTCCACTGGCTCTACCGGCTCTGCTTTCTGCTCGACACCCTCAGGTCTATGCTCAATGTCCGCTATGCTCATTGTCCGCTATGCTCATTGTCTGCTGGCCGAGCTGAGTCGGCCTACTACTTTCAGATCCTCCAGGGGCTACAACGAGCTCAACTTTTTTAAACGTGTCCTGATAACACGCCCTGGCCATCTTCTGGTTCCCCTTCAGCACTCCCACCCCCTGCGGAGTTGGGAACTTCATACAGAGGTGGGGCTGTGAGATAACAGCCTTCAGTTCGCATAGGGTGGCCATTCCTAGTATAGCATTGAAAGCTGATTCCATCTTAACGACCAAGAAGGTGACCGAAGCCATCCTGAAGCGCGGTTCTGAGCCCACATTTATAGGTAGAGTAATAACTCCCTCGACAGGGACGGGCTGGTTATCAAACCCGTATATTGGCCCTTCGTGCTTCTGCAGCGAGCTCGGATTCAGCTGCATCTTCTGGAAGCAACCCCAATACAGGATATCTGGCGAACTGCCAGTGTCAATAAACACCTTATTGACATTATGATTGCCTATATGAACTGTTGTCACAAAGGGATCTGCGTGGGGCATCATAATGTCAGACTCTCCTTCTGCTCGCTTGTAATCTGCCGGGCTGAATGTAATGGGCGCATTTTCCCATTCTGCTTCCTCAAACGGCCGTTTCAATGGTCTGTTTTTATTGACGGTCATCACCTGTCGAGCATATGCCTTGCGAGCTCGGGCGCTTTGGCCCCCTGAGTGAACACCACCTGATATCATGTTTATTGTACCAGAAGGTGGGGGTATCCCAGTATAACCTACCCCTTTTCTGTCTTTTTTATTAGGGGCAGTAATTCGCGGTCCCTGCCCTCTCCTGTTGAAAGGACGTCCTCGGTACGCTCTGCTTTGTTCAGAAGGATACTGGTTATCCTGATATGCATCCTGCATCCCCCCATGCTGGTACCTCTGTCCTTGAGGTCGGTCATACGCCTGCACAAAATGGGTTTGAGTAGGTTGCTGGGTGTGAAGCTTCTGGACATACCCTTCTAGCTTCCCATTATGAGCCAAAAACTCTAACTCGTCCTTCAAGTGTTGGCAGTCCTCTGTATTGTGACCATATACGCGGTGGTAGTCACAATGTTTGCTCTTATCTGCCCTCGGGGAATCATGCAGCGGGGGTGGAGGCCTCCTAACCCAGTGCTGAATTTGTGCCAAGATTTGAGGCCTGGGTAAGGTCAAAGGAATGTAACTGGAATATTTCGGGAACTCAGCTGGTTTCCCCCATGGCTCACCGACCTTCTGCTTCTTCTTCTCTTCTCTTCTCGGTTGTTGTTCCTGTCCTCTGCTCGGCTTATCATCAGCTCGTCGCTTGGACGACTGAAAGTCCTCTGACAGTATGAAGCTGG